CTCTCTCTCGTCCGGATATCTCCGCGAAACCCTGGAAAAACTTTCCGCAGCGCGTGACGCGGTAAAGGGAATATTTGCTGTCTCGGGTATATTTGCTGCGGAAGCAAAAATTTCGCTTCCTTCTATGAGCGTCTGCCGGAGTTAATCTCATTTCCTCGTACAATAATTAATCGGATTTCTCTACACAACCACTCCGTGTCTATCTTTAGAAGGTAGAGATAAAAGATATTTCCTCGCTTTTCGTAGGGAAATTTTTAATAAGTGTCTGTTAACTTTATTATATATGCAACAGTTTAAGTAAATAGCAACGCGGAATGTTTTTCGGTATCTAGTTTACGTCGCACGTAATACTTACGTATCGCAACGATAAGAAAATTTGTTAACGTGTATAAAGATATTTAAATCTGTTTTGGTAGCAATTTTAATGACTCAATTTCCTTGTGTTCTTCTTTTTCTAGATGCAACAATAAATTTCAAATTTTGTCTTGTTTAAGTAAAAATAAATCAAGGTTAATAATCGGATTGCGCTTAGTGATAAAGCGGTGAATAATCATGGGATCGATGGGGCTACACAGCGTTTGCATGAAATTACGCGGTTGAGCGCCGATGACGATAGACAGCGTCTTTGGCATGTGGGACGAAGATGCAATCCTCTGGCGCATTAGCGCCGGTGCAAGCTGGCTATCAATATTAACAAGATAGTAATCGGATGCCAGATATAGAGACACATTTCGATCGATAACGGATAACTGTTCTCGGGGGAGACAAATCGATACGACACGATGAAACGTCCCATCAGCATCCCTGTCATTTTTCCCCCCCCCCCGATTGGTAATTGCGCGAGCGGTTAAGTTTTACACACACATGAGCAACTTCTCGAATATGAATGCGCTGCAAAAGCGCTAAGTATCGCGGGCCCGATAATAAGGCAATGAATAGTGATGAGCCGGGATATGTCACATACTCGAGAAACTGTATCTCCGCGCGGAATTTTAGATTCGCGTCACGTTAACACCTGTCCAATTACATCGCCGTTAATCATGCGTTCCAAGTTAATAATGTTCCCAATCGTGTTTCTGTCCCCGACGTGTTTTCGAAGTAATCAAATTAAGGCGGAGTTTATATAAAAAGTCATTAATTTACTTGGCAAGAAGATTACCAAGGGGACATATCGAAAACATTTCTGTTAATTAAACGTGGAATGAGATGAAAATGTGCCAACCTCTTTTATATATTTAACATCCACCGAATAAATTCAGATTTATTTTGGAGTGAAGAGCTTAGAATTCGACGTAGTTGGATTACGGAGTATCACAGTAAAAGTATTATATATTAGATTTAAATTCGAAAGTCGGACGCGTACATAAATGTCAGCTTAATTACGATGCCCTACATGCAGGCTACGTTTTCGTTAATTACGTCGAATTATAAAATTTTGATTGTTGACCGAGTGTGTTTTCGCGAGGGTCGTCTCCGGGGCAGAAAACCGACTGAGCTAATCATTAAGTATTGAATAATCATGAAGTTAATCGTGCGACACGCGAGGTGTCTTTCCGCTCGGCGGAGGGGAACGGCGAAGTCGCGCGGTCCCTCGACGCATTAACGCCGGCGCGAGTGGTCCATCAATATTAATAAGATTGTAACCGTACGGGGACGTGTAGGGCCGATCGAGTGGCCAATTTGCCTAGCGGTTAGATGAGCTTTTTCGTCTCGCCTTTCAGGAGACGTGTATCGTCTCTTCTTAGCGTCGTAAAGCGAGACGGGACTCGCCGCCGCATTAATGAACGGGGTACGCGTCGCATCGCATCGGAATCGTGCCCGAGGGGACGTGCCGGCGAACGAGGCTTAAAGTGTCGTAATAGCGACGGCGACGTGGTCCATAAACATTGGCCGACGATAGACGGTGGATGTTGAGTTCACCGGGAACGTGGTCCCGTCGCTGCTGGCGATACTCGCGCGCGGCTCCCTCAAAGGTAAACGGTATCGGGGTACCATTTGATGTTTGCAGTCACCATCGTGTGGACAGAGTCTACTCTACGAAGTGATCTTGGATCGTCTGTGGACGGATCTGTGTATAGAGTGTTCCTTTTAAAAGGAACTATCTATCTCCCTCACTTTTTTTCGGAGGCGGTTTACTTATCCGATCCGCTGGGGGAAGCCGCTCGAGGAGGAAGAATTTCCGTTGCGAAGCGTTATTCCGACGAGATAAAATCGTTTTTACGTCTCTCTGTTACGTCAAAGTGGTTGCCAGGTCGCGGAACAGTAGTTAAGCTTCGGAGGTCCTTATATTTACACGGGTTTCAATCTGGAAAATACCCTAAACGCTTTGGTAGCGGCGCATCGATCGCGGTTCGTCGCTGCGGATATGAACGGAATATACTGCCGCTAATGCATACTACACGGTAATGCCGGGTATCCTAACTTTACGGCGTCCATCACGAACTCGTTCCGCTCACCGCAGCTGCTCCCGCTAATACTTCAACGTGGGCTTCGCCGTTAGAGAGTCGAGAGAGACTCGCAGCAGATTCGCTCGCGAGCAGACGAGCGGAAGGCTCGAGGCACGCCGGTAGGATGGGCCCGACAAAGTGGCAAGCACTGACGGTACGAAATTAGCTTACGGATTCGCGATAAGCGGCTTACGTTTCAAGCAAGGATAATCCCGCGCCTCTCGCAATCGATTCTTGATCGTCGAGCGAACACTTTGAACTCGTGCCTCGTCCCGGGCATATACGCGCCGCTTTAGCTGCACTCAAATAGAATGCGCATTCTGTTTAGTTCTCTGGAAAACGATCTCGACACCTTAGTCAGAGAAACGGCGGGGAGAGGAGAGGGGGAGGGGGTGGCACGATTATCTCGGGAACTGCGGCAGCTGCGGCATCGACTGACGCCGGTGGATGCGCGAATCGGCGCCGGCATCACGTCATAAATCACGATAGCGGCGAATGTTTTTGCCGAAGTGGGTAGGCGTGCATCGATCTAATGATCTGTCAGTTCTAAAGAACCGTTTTTTGTATTGCCGTAATGTGCCGTCTTGATATTCGATATAGAAATATATATCGAAAGGTTGAAAAGTCTTTGGATCAAATGAAATCTCCTATTTTTAAATATATAAATATTTCCTCCGCATATTGGTTAGAAATTGCGTACTATATGCGGAAGATGACTACTCAATATATTTGTTAATTTAAAAATCGTTAGGCTTTTTCTTTTTCCTCTTTTTTTGCGATTTAGGTTTACGATAGCTTAATACAAATTAAAAAAAATAGCTAATACAAATTAAACCATTAGAGTAATAGATAGATAATGGAGAATCCAATCAGTCCGATTTAGCAACTTACGGTCGGAAAACGTCGAACAACTTCGCGGCAGTGTTCCGTACCAGTGTTCGTAATCTAGGATCACGATAGAGAATCTTTAATTAAGTTAAGGTGCTCACCTCCTTTCCTTTGATGTCTCTATATCGAACCCATTTGCCCAGTCGCGGCCTCCAGTACTCCAGCAGATACGCCTCTGCGAATTCAACACCCATGCCGTTTCCGAAACGACCCTGGGTACCGGTAGCCGTGATCAAGTGGATAGTATGAAGGTCGATCTCCAGCCATTCTCGAGCTTCCTGGGTGATTTGATTCTTAGGACACCAGGCGCCACCAAGATCCTCCGATTTCAATCTATAACCATCGAGTAAAATTGAATTAACATTTGCTTCTATTTTGCTTATCTTCAAAGAAATGTTAATATGTTTAGATATTTTATATTATAAATAAATTTCTATTTTATTCTGCGCGAAAATATTTTCTGCTATTAATGTATTTTTATATAAAATTTAGGAATGTGTTTAGAGATTTTGATAAAACTATTGAATAACTGAGATTAGAAGACTCGTAAAATTATCGAGGCATTCTCGGAAATCGAGTTTCGAGCGGTCGTATATTTCGGCTCGGTCTCGTCCGCTCATAAAAGTAACGATCTAATTAGATGTGAAAGTATCGAGTTAGTTCCTAGCTAGCACCGTTCATCTCGCGCTATCTGAAGATCAATTGACCGTGCTGTCGACTATCGAAGATCTCATTCTGAATTTCGATATTATCGCGTTTACGTGCACGAAAAATCGAAGATTTCGTGCGTTCTCTCTCTCTCTCTCTCTCTCTCTCTCTCTTTCTCTCTCTCTCTCTCTCTTTCTTTCTAATTATTTCTCTCTAGTTATTTCGCTAACGTTATATGGAGCTGTGCACACGTGCAACGTGAATCAGAATTACATTTTAATGTAGTTTGAAATATTTGAAATTAATATAAAAGGATATCTCGAATTCCTTGTTTTGAAAGAAAACGTGATTTGACGATAATTTGAATATTATATGTTTGAATATTGTGAAGACATCATTATATCATACCGTTATTATTATACAAGGCTCAATTTAAAAGAGCTGTTATTTGTCAGCGTCAGGAGAATTTCGGGAAGGAACGATGAATAATAGCGAATGTAAACGCAAGAACGGGCTTTCCGACTTGGCCGTCCCCGAGATCATCGAAAATCCGGAAGCTTATCGAGATTTCCAAAGTCCGGCTCGATAACCGACGAATTTACATAGGCGGAAAATCGCAGATATTCGGAGTGACCACGTATCATCTCCGCGCAGGTGATACGGGTCGGACGGGTATACGTTCGCGGCCATTTATACGTTCAAGCTGTGCCCGCCTCGGTTTTAATCTTCGAGGGGGGTCGAAAGCAAGGCGAGGAGAGAGAGAGTTTCTACGCGCCGGGGCCGGCATGAATAAAACATGAAGCGCGAAGCGCCTTCCCTAATTGCGTGGACCGTTTAAATGCTCGACGCTAAGAGTGGTGCTCCTTTTCGGCGTTACGCCGAGGATACGTACAGTTATATACGGGCGGCGGGTGTATTCTTCTCAAATTGCAGATTAGGAATCGCTGCGTGAAGCGTTTCTCGCAGACTCCGGCGCCAGTCGCGCTCTCGGCGTACCAATCGTCTCAACGTGCGAAAAGGAGCTCGGCGCGGCGAACAGCGGTTCGCGTTATTGTGCCATCGAAGGAACGATTGTCTGATTATGTTATTCGCTGTGATAAAATAAGACACGGCTTATTGCGATAAGCTGCAAATCATTACCGCGCGGGATGATTGTAATAATCTTTCTCGATAATGAGAAACGTAAACGGAGCTATTTACGATGAGTCCACCGAGGTCATTTTTGCAATTGCGGCTGGTCCACGAGGTGCGAACAATCATGCTTCATGTTCGTCATTAGCCAAATACGAATATAATGCCGCTGCGTTCTTAATGGTGGATGCTCGCCGTTGTAATGGCTGCTTTTGCAAGATTTACAACCTGCGTGCTGGAAGTGCCTCTTTATCGTTAACACCCGGCTCGTTCGGGATGATTAGTCAAAGGTGGAGTAGCAATGACAAGGCGCGGGTTTTACGACTCCATTGTCTGCAGTTGCTATCGTTACGAGAAAACGAGGTCGGATTACATCGATATCAGAGAGTATATATTATTTTGTCGTAACAAGTTCTAATAGTTTTTTGTCTGGAGGTAAATAATGAAAGTTTTTTTATAGTTTTTCGATAAAAAAGAAAATCTCGACTTTGTCTGGTGTAACGGAATATGATCAGTAAATATTGATTATTTCGGGAGAAGACGTGTATTGTATGGGATGTCTGTAAAAGAAATGGATACCCAATATAAATAAAATTTTATTTTCATTTGCTGGAATTTTTTTTTTAAATTGTAAATCGGTGAATAATGTTTATTTAAAATGTTGCCGCTGGTGAGTTTTAATTTCCGCACTTGTAGCATATTGACGATAAGGATCCGTCGGACTGGAGTGGAATTGAACAACGTGAATTTCAACAGAAATGAACAATGAATTAAAACAAGAGTGTTCAACCAGTTCGAATGCAACGTTTTACAAGATTTTATTTAGAAATAAATATTTTAATCTTTCTGTCGAAGATTAAAATATTATGTTTCAATAGAAGTCTTTCCAAAATTACAAATCATCGTTAATTAAAATAAATGCATACAAACACGAATTTGTTCGCAAAGACATACCTACATATAATAATAATACCTACATATATACCTACATATAATAATCCTATTTGTGCCTTTTGTATCGTCAAATTGAATCGCGATGGTGCCCAAAACCGACGCGCGGGTTCTATTTATAATAAACTTTCTGTGAGTGTCGCAAGGGCAAGGAAGGATCGAGGTGTGTGGTCCTCGCGCATATATCCCAAAAAGACGATTCGGTATAATCGTTTCCTCGGCGGTGGAACACGACGGCGAACCACCGAAAACTCCATGTCGTCCGCTCCGCACGACTGACGCGGACGGATGGCATTAAATCGAGCGAGGCGAGAGGAGGACGGCGTGACGAACTTAAATTTTCCATCGCGTCAACTAACCCGGCGATTCTGCATTCGCCGGTATTAACAGGCACGTGACAGCGGGACTGCTCGCTATCTGCGCGCGTTAACGCGCTCGCATTATGCAAACCATCGATCGGGAAGATTGACGGACATCTCACCGCGCCGGCGGCGAGTGGCGGAGCGCGGCCGATCGATGGGAAAAGATTCGCGCGCGATTTCGTACGACAAAAGCACCGTCCCGTCAGCGGCGGTCAGAATTTAATTTCGCGGTGAGAAAAAAAGTCGCCGTTATTACCGTTTCGACGATGACGTTGTCGGTCACGGGAAAATTGAATCTGTCACACGGCGGAATTTTTATCGTGCGTTATCGTTACGAATCGAACGCTCGTCACGGAGAAGAGAAGTTATTTTTCAATCTAATTCAGCGCGAAGCTGCGGCCTCGGGAGCTGCGCTACTACTACCAGCATAAAGGAGTCGTTATGCATTAGTTAATTAGATTAAATCATTTAATATTCGTAATCATATAACATGCGCCGCGCGTTGAGACCGTCAGACCTTAAATATTCAGGAAGAATATCGGTTCGATGATGAATCTACTGAGCAAAAATTATTCCTTAGACGTATGCTGTTTTGCATTCGTCTCTTAATCACGTTTTCTCAATTTCCGCTCGTTAAGCTCGCCTCAAAAATTCCGCTTTTATAAGACGGATTTCGCGAATTAAATAAGTAGCGACGAAGTTCTCGAACAAGTTCTCCGCACGGATGAATAAATAGCGTCGAGACGGACGGCCTCCTTTGTTAATAACTGTAAATGTAAAATATATATTTACATTTTCGTGAGCTAAACGCTGGGCGAAAATAAATTCACACAACGACCAGGACATCTTCGCAGATGACGACTGAGTCGCATCTCTCGCGCAATAAATATTATCACAGGATATCGTTTTAAAAAAATTGTTGTGTTTTCCATCGCAAAATCAGAAAGAAATCCGATCGAGTCTTTTACAATTTATAGATCGAGTCTCTATTGGTACTTACTGTTACAGCTTATCTTTACGGATTATGCACATCCATAGCGTGAATATCGCAGAATTACTGGGACCGAGATTATTTAAGTCTGATCATTTTCTTCTTGAAAAAAAGAAAAATATTCCAGTTTGCAATCGAGGTCGTTATGAAATATATATTTAGAATACCAGTTAAAGTATGACGAAGAAATAAACAAGTACTTAATTTTAAATGCTAATTCGCAAGTTTTTATATGTTCGCTTTGTAATAAGCTGCTCTCAATCAGAATTTCTGCGTGGTGATTTCGTATCTCAAATAGGAAATAAATATCAGAAATCATTTTGCTGATTCACCGTTCGCGAAACATCAGACAGACCAGAGGCTATTTTCGGAGAGCTCTTCGTCTGTGTGATGCTCGAGGCGTCTCTGTTCCAATCGCTCTCTGAAGTCTTGACTCGATGCCGAGATGGAGTAAGATCGAAGATGGAGTCCACTTTGGCGTCATCTGACACGTAAGCGTAATCGCCCGCGACTATAACCGACGCGGCGCGTCTGTCTCTTTTAACCGATGTTTCAGCTGTGCTTTTCTAAATTATAGCGTATCGCATAATGGCTCTAGTAAGTAAGAGCTATTACGAGCCTGTAAAATTCGCTAACTCGACGCCGCCGTACGTTCTTTCCGAAGTAAATATCTTGTATCATGCAGTTTCCTGCCGTTCCTCTATTTAGGAAAATGGTTCGTATCATATTTCCAGCTGCTCGAACGCGTGTATAATGTACGTGTGGAAGTACGTGCACGGAAATAATCATTGCTTATCGTTTCAAAGCTATAGTAACATTAACGATGTACATTTACAACGTCACGTAAACAATAACAACTAAATATTTCGCTCTCGCGTTGGAAATAAACTCGCGGGGTTAATAGTATGCATCGACGTAATTAGCACATAATCACAGTTTGCGCGGCAGTAAATTAAAACCCGCGCTATTTTCGGCCCGAACAAAATTACGCGGCGAAAATCGTCCCGTGATTTCTCAACCCCATCCAATTTCGCCGGGCGGTATCTCGCCCGCTCTATGTTCCTACTGGCGTCTTAATTGCACCCATTCTAGAAATGCCGTTGAACGGAAACACGAAGAAAAGGAACGGCGGAAACGTGCGAAAGAACTTGCAGCTGCGCGATTTCTGAAAGGAGAGCGTGCGATACGAAATACACCGCTGGCCTTTTCGCGCCGATTGTACGTCAAAAATTTTTCACTCGATAATTGGAAAAAACGCGCTCCATTAGATCTCACGATACGCGTCGGCGAAAACTGTTTATTCTTCTATTCACAGATGATTTATCGCGGCTCACACGGTGCGCTGTAACTCGGAAATTTTCGATTCCAATTGAAATCAACGAAATCACTTTTGTTATATTCGAGGAAAACGAATTTTTCTTCCATACGCCAGTAATATTCGCCCGAACGCGAAAGAAATGTTCTAAACGCGCCAGAATGGCGTATCGCGTTTTCAACAAATCATATCGTTGATATATTTTTGCGTTGGACATCAATTAACGTCAATTTTTGATGCGTAGTGTTCAGATTATGTCAGTCATTTATGTATTTTATATTCCCGGCGTAATCATTCCGGATGATTTTTCTCGTGTAACCGACGCATCTCCGGGCGCGTTGTTTTAATTCGCGACCGTTTCCAGTATAACGAGAATCCGGGAAAACGCGCGGAGCCCAGCCTCACGTTATTTTTTCCCCTCTTTCTTCCCTTCTCTTCTTCTTTTTTTTTTTTGTACGCGTACCCTCGACGTCCGCGGTGAGCGAGAAAGAAAAATACGCCGTAACCGCGCGGTAATTCGTATCGGGGCG